GCTTTAATTACATGCATTTTAATTATCTTCCTTTAATTCTCCTGAAGATTATTTTATTTTTATTAAGAATGCTATATTTATATTAAAACTGTGGTGTGCTTGTATGACTTTATTTCCTGTTTTTAAATAATGAAACAACCTTGGCATAACAATTTTCAAACTGCAAATCGTTGGTTTGTAATTCAAGTCTTATAGTCTCCTGCGAGGAAGGGACAGTGTGCAGGTGTTTTTTTTTTTAATATTCATTTTTTAGGTGTAGATAGACACAACACAAAACCTTTATTTTCATGTGGTGCTGAGGAAGGAACCCGGGCCCCGCCCGTGCTAGGAGAGTGCAATACCACTGAGCCAGAATCCCAGCCCCCAAGTGCAGGTGTTTCTGAGTGACACATAGATAACAAATTGGTTTCAAAACAATAATATTCCTTTAGTCACAATTATTGACAGATTTTAAGAACGTTTGATCATCCAATAGTAAAATTAGAACAAAACAACAAAAAATCCATGAAACTCTTAAGACATTAATGAAAGGGACAGGCATACTTCTAAGGGTCAAAAGAAATGTAGGATGCTTAGAGAAGAGCATGTACTTGTGAGGAATCTGAGTCAAATGGATCCCAGGAGTGTGGGAGAATTACATGGCTGCAGTTATCAACTTTAWCTTGTTTTTGTGCATATGCATATTTTAAAGAATATTTAAGGTTTAAATATTCAATAATCAAGCAAGGATATAAGCAGAATTTCAATTTTGGTTTATTTTTTTGTCTCTTCAATGAGCAAGTTACCTAAAAAGTTGAGGCTGTTTTGGTCCCTTTTCTATTCTTATTGATTGTTCACATCTAACACTGAATTCCATAAACAGATCTATCTAAAAATGGAGTATGAAAAATTGGATAGGGAGTGTCAGAATCCCTGTACTGTTCTCCAATTGATATGGTTGATGATAGCAATAGACTTGTCCCTTTCCCAAATGTCAAAATTTTTTGGCCCACCACTTACCACTTTTATGAAGATASCAAGTATATACATCTTTCATTAAATTAGAAATACACCTTCATGTATTTATCTGTTAAAATCATGGAATGTATTAGTTATTAATATCATTAGAATCTTACCTTAACATAAAAATTACAAGTATTGAAAACACACCTACAGAAACTTTAGRGTCTGAGAATGTAAGTACTGTTTTATAAGAGTAGAGGGTAGGCATTTTGTGAAAAGAAGGTGCAATGAAATACATGTAGGGCAGGATATTACTTCAATAACTATGTTAGCAATGTTATAGTTAATTTATCTAATGTATGTTTATATAGTTTTCACCCTTAAATTATCCTTGTTTTTTTTTTAAATCGAGAAAGAGAGACAGAGAGAGAGAGAGAGAGAGAGAGAGAGAGAGAGAGAGAGAGAGAGAGAGTGTTTTTAATATTTACTTTTTAGTTTTCGGTGGACACAACATCTTTATTTTTTTATTTTTATGTGGTGCTGAGAATTGAACCCAGCACCCTGCACATGCCAGGCAAGTGTGCTACCACACGAGCCACATTCCCAGGCCCTATCCTTGTTTTTATAATGGATATGGTCAAATTATTACATACACTTTAAATGAAATATGGCATATATTAATTTTCACTTTAACTTTATACTTAAATGCCCAATTTTCTGAACTATCTCCAGAAATTACACTCTCCCTTAGCACCAAACCCACAGAGATCTAAAACCAGTAAGGACACCTAAAATGTATGCAGTAATGAAATTTTTTTTTCTACAAAAGATCCCATAAGCTGAAATTAAGTTATCTGTTTCAAAAGAACATCTGGGCTAATGTATGATGTTATCATAGAGATTTGCTTTGCATCAAAAGAAATAGCTAAGTTCTTATGTAACAACACAAAATCATTATTTATGTGATGATTACATATTATTAGAGTTTCATTCTAGTTTTTATTTTAAATTTAAGAGAAAAGCCATACACATTCATTTAAAGAGTTTAAATACAGAGGAAATCATAAGAGATCTGTTTCTGCTCCCCATCCTACTTTTCAAAGCATGATTATGAACATGTATCGAAGTCCAGAATTAGGAAACAATTGAGGTAAATATACTGGGGATGAAAGTCTTGGCTAGAGAAAGCTAGAGAAAGAGGAAATATGTAAGAAATTACACAACTCAAAGAAATTATAGTCTGCCTATGTACATTCATTGATGTGTGTGGGCAGTATATATGCCCTGAGGTACAGCAACTCTATGAAAGTCTATGAAAAAGAAAAGTTTTAAACTGAAGGTGTATATGTGGCTGGTGCAGGATTTTATATGCTTGTCCACCATCATAAAAAAAAAAGTGGTATAATTTTATCAAGCTCTCTTAGTGATGTGTTTGACAATAGAGAAAAATACAGAGAATAATGTAGAGAAAAACAYACAGAAACCCAAGAAGTAAAAATAATTAATAAATTTTGAAAAACTTCATAATTGAGGTATCTGTTAACTAAGGCATGTCTACAACAATAATTGAGAAGAAACAAATATGAATGAACAACCGAGATAAGGGYATATATACACAATACAAAGAGAAAGGTCAGTTGGATATGAATTCCTTCCTCTTTGTGACAATAAAGATTTCCTACTTGCAAACAAATGTGCACATTTTGCCTAGGTTTACTCAGGATTCAGGCATAAAAACACCAATTTCCCTTAATGTTTCCAGGAAGGATATTTATGATAGATAGTTAATTACATACCTATATGAGACAAATGTGGTTTAATACACTAACCATTACTTTTAAGACCATTATATGGATGTCATGCTATTTTGCTGTATGGGTATTAGAGAGTTAGTGGTGGTTGTAACCTGAGATATTTTAACAGTAAACATTTAGGAATGAAGCTAAAGCTCTTAAAAGGGATGAAACTTTTATTTCTTAAATAATTGACCACATACAATAAACAATTACTTGGCACATATAAGTCTACCTTTCCCAAGATGTTTTTTCATACGTGTATATGATCTAAGAGCTTTGATTAGGATATTTTGTTACACAATTATAAAATCTGAGAATTAGAAAGGCTTTCGAAACTTACCAATCTAAAGAATCCCAGTTTTAAAATGAAGAAACTGAGAATTTCTTCCAAATATTTTAACAAGTATACACTTTGGTTTTTATAACATCAGTCTTCTCTGAGAAACATATGTGCATAATTATATGCACAATCATACACACACACATACACACACACACACACACACACACACACACACCTGCACACAGACCTGAGAGGTTATAGGCATTTAAAATATGTAAAAATAAAACATTTCCATTCTAAATGCCCATGAATTACTAATGTAATTTTAGCCATAAAATCCATTTGAATTACATATGTGTATATATCTGAAAATATCCTATAATTTATCTTATAAAATAAATTACATATAGATATAAAATAATTTATACATAAACTTATCAAAATGCATATTTAAAAAGATTTAACAAACAATGTTTTGAAAATATTTTCATTGTAGTGTTTTCAGAATGATAATATACAATGTATAGATTAGGAATAAATAAAATGTGATTATTTATGTAAAATTCACTTTCAAAATGAGTACAATTTTCAAAAGAAATTAATAACATAAGACATTTCACAGAGTCACAAAATAAACAATAAAGGAAAAAATTAAATTGCTCTCAATATAATGTATGAAATTCCAGGGATGTAAAGGCTATGACTTTCAAAAACATTTATTTTAGAATTMAAATATTTTAATTGTCKTATGAAAGAATGTTGTGACATAATAAATAAATTAAAAAATTTATTCAAAGATCAATCTCTTGAAAACATATTCAGTGTCATTCTTCTTTAATTATATTTATTATTCTCATTTTTAACCTCAAGTTTATTATTTTAATTTCGGTGAATTTTAAAATTTTATATTTTTATTTGGTAAAAATGCCATTCATGAATTGCTAGAGCTTAACAGTCAACTATCTTTCACAAAGTCTTATTTAGTGAATTTATATATTGCCTTTCTTTATACAAGATAAGAATCTTTTTTCTTATAATATGAATGGAATTATTGCTGATTTCCTGTGCATATATGCGTTGAATTTCTTCACATAAATCTTATGTTTCTTTTGTGCCCACAAAGACATCTGGATACTCATCAGAAGTGTAAATATCCCAACTAGAAGAAAAAAAAATTATCCTTTCTTATTTCTACGATGAATACAATAACTTATTTTGAACAAAGAACCAGTATCAGACAGAACTTTTAAAACATTTCTGAAATATTGCAGTTTCTTATCAATATCCTTACATTCATTGACTAGCATAATGTATATTCAATCAATGTTTATTGCATTTATGAATAAAGATAAAAATACATAGCAAGGTTCAAAATTAATCCACATTTTTAATATCTTATTGCTATAAAATACTTCCAAATATAAATTTTTGATCTGAAATTTTTTCAATAATACTTTTCCATATGCATGTAATATGACTTTACATATATAAACACACACATAATATGATAAATCACATTAATTATGGTTCAAAATTGTACAATGGAACAAATAGATGAAATGGATATTACCTATATTTCTTCTAATATATAAAGAAAGCACTGCAATCAAATTTCTACCATGCACTAAGATGCACTATATTTGAAATTTCACATTCATGCTCCCCAGTTGTCCCTTCTTAGATTCTCATGAAAACTTCCATAAATAAGACATAAAAGGGACTGTATAAGTGTACAAGAGAAAGTTTCAAATGAAGTGCATATTATCACTATTTTTAACAAAATCTCATYGCTTTATATACTTGAATTACATTTCCTAGCTTGGTTACAGCAATAATCATATAGAGATAAATGATGTTTCAGTATTTTTAATACTAATAAAAAATAAAAATAAAGAAGTATTAAAATCCATTTGCAAACACACCAAATTAGTACAACGGTATCTTAATCTCAGAAACCAATCTTTTTTAAATATTCATGCACTTTGAGTAATTGTCAATAAACCTGTCAATTCACTTTGAGTTATGTCAATAAAAGTCTTACCTGGCAGTGTTTGTGTCATGACTGTGAAACTAATCCATGACCCAATCTGTTAAATTAAAACATAAATTAACACATGCATACAGTTAATATAATAATTTGTTTACTTGTGCACTTAAACAGGTAATTTAAAAGATTAAATTATTAGAAAATATAGACATAGACTAAATTTCCAAAACTAATACTTCAATTTTTACATATGAAAGTCCAAATTTCCAAAAATAGTACCCTATCCATAATAAAATAGAGAATATTGTCTTAAAAATTTGGATAAATATTAAAATTCTTAAAATCTCTAAAGACATTTTATATAAAGTGTTCAAACTACTTAAATGCAGATACATTTATGCACAAATATTCTTAAAGTGAAAATAGTGGTTGAAATATACTTTTTAAATCTATAAATTAAATCGAAATCTATATCTCTGAACCCATATCTAGAGATAAAACAAATATACATTTCATAACAGATCATTATATATGATAATGTATTATATATATATATGTGTATATATATATATATATATATATATATGAACACATAATTTGCACATCATCATATAAAGTTCTATAATTTACATTTATGAACAACATACCTCATAGGTGTAGTTAGGACAAGAAACCAGCAAAAACAGCCATGTGAAGGGGTTATAATTTGGACGAGGAAAACAGGCATTATTTCCTTTTAGAAAGTAGAGTAAAATGTCAATGATGTCACATATTGTAAATTTGATTATATGTTTGTATAATACTAAATTCCTGAGAATAACTACATAACACATGAAATTACATTGTATATTTACAACAACCTATTTTATAAATTGCTCAGAAGAGAGCCAATTTCAAATGTTATGACCTTTTTTGACTCAGATAAAATAGCTATCATTTTTTACCATATCTATAACTATATTGCTGTAACGTTGCACAATACTTAAGGATAATAAAGTCCTCAAAATTTTAAAGAAAAAATATTTAAATTTATTTTGTATATTATAATAGCTGCAGCAGTGTTATATGCTAAAATTATAAAGTATGCTTTGACAATTGCATGCTTCTTCACATTCTCCTTTAGTGTCAAAGTATATGTGTTTGGTTGAGATTATCAAATACCTCAAAACTCCCTTTGTATTAAATTAGCAAAAACYCAAAGGAAAAGATATAAGAATGCCATTTATATCAAAGGAGTGTGAAAATCTCTCATAAGAAGATTAAGTTGAAAATCAGTATAGTTAATATTCAGAAATACCATATAAATTATTTCTTCTCAGCAATTAAGAATGTTATTTACAGTTCTCATTATATTTAGCATATTGTCACTTGATTTTTGTTATTTTTTTCTTCAAATTTTTTCAAGAAACATTTTAGAAAATGAAATTTATAATGATATGAAGTTGAACTTTGAGCTGTGACATTTGTAAAATTAAATATGAATTATAAATTTACTGTTTTATTCTCCATAACAAGATTTAATCAGATAACAAATCAACTAATCTCTTTTGGTTGTAACTCCAAAGTCATAATGAAATGTCAGTATGTTATTTTTAAAATTGTAACTATGGTTGAAATATCAAAGTAAAAAATATATTAAGCACTGTGCAGATTTCATGCACTGCTCATTTCAAGGGCAAACACAAATGCCATTTAATACCAGAGATTATCTCATAAGATTTATGTAAACACCTTTGTGTAATGTGCCTGTAGTAATCAAAAGAGAGATAATTGAGGAACTTACCCCAGTTATAGTCATTGAATTTCAGTGGTACCATATTCGCAAAAGATAATTTGGATAAAGGCCTCTAACTTATGGGTTTTCAGCCCCTGGAAGTGGGGGCATGATCAAGAGAACACAAGTTCACATTTCTTCTAAATGTAATTTGTAGATTAATGGATATGTTTTATGACACAKAAAAACATATATATACAGAAAATGTTGTTTCTAGTGTATATAGTTGGTATTAATTGTAATAGTATGTAAGTCTAAAGATTACTAGTTTTATACACACATTCTCCATGAAGTTTCTAACCTACACTTGTTATAATAGAGTTTCTATAAAACGAAAATCATGAGATTCCTTTTCTTTTTTCTAAGTTGCCCTGATAACCTTTAACTTGTGATCCTGCTGCCTCAACCTCCAGARTAGGATTACTAGGTGYACTACCATGCCTGGTGAAAGTCAGAAGGCTCTTCACATTAAATWTCTCCACAACCCATATTTTTCTTCCAGAGGAAAGAGTTTATTCTGTTGATTCAGGAAGTGCTCCAGGAAGAACACCTTCATGTCTTAGCATTTCTTGGATTTTTTGGCTGAAGAAAGCAATCTAAAGCAAGGTCATCCTCTCTTCTTGGTTTAGTCTTCATCAAATATTTGATCAATACAGTAAAAGATGACTCAATTCAGARCAATGTTATTTATTCATTCTTGCATTAGAATGCCACAAATGCTTCTTGTAAATACTTCCTGAGAATGCATTGTTATCAATTTTTTACATAAATATGATTTCTATGTTGTTGTTTATGAAATCACCTCCCTAAAAAACTTCTGAACACTAACCTTCACCTTTGCGTTGACATCTCTTGGTTGTCACCAAGAGTAGCTCTAATAGCAGATGCTAGAATGGACATTTAGAGTAGAGTAACCTAGTAAAGAGCCTGCAATGAGTACTTCATTGCTCAAAAATGCAAAACAGATAGTTTCTGATATAAGATAGCAGTGCAGGTGTGAAACCTTTTATTAATGTAATATTGATATGTTATATTGATGGAGAGGAATGTTTTATCCAATATAATTCAAAGAGTGGAATGAAGTKGTACTTTCTGTCAACATACTTGACAAAAAAATTGCTAAAACTGAATCTTATAATTGGCAATTAAAAGTGAAATTTGAATATTAGAATTTTCCCTCAGTAACATGTAAAGACATCTTATCTTTTGCAATGAGAGGCCACAGAAAGCTGAATACCAGACCTAGACCCTGTACTTAATTATAAAAGTGGTCAAGCTCCAAGAATTAGACAATTACATTTGAAGGTTATCCAAAAACCTTAGGAGATCTAGATTTTCATGAACTTCATGARTCTACAGAAATGACTCACTTGTCCCAATTATACCCCAATTAAAACCCCTTTACTGAAAGTCAATAAAGAAGAAAATATGCTATAAAAAAATCTTCTTTAGGTTCCTCCCCATATCTCCTCCTAACCTTTGCAGTAACTATCATTATATTAGTGTATTACCTACCTAAGKTTTTTCTGGGTTGGCTAAGGGAAAAAGAGATTATTTTCCAAAGTAACTGCAGGACTTAGCCAGTGTGAACCAACACACCATAGAAGAATACACGTGTGATTGGATTTTGAGGGTACTTGATAAAGGAAAAAAATATAAAATTGAATAAAGGTACATTTATAATTTCTAAGCACTCTACTTAGTATTTAGGATAGTATATAGTAGTGTTATGATTGCTATTTAGGATAGTATACAGTAGTGCTAAGATTAAACAAACATAGTATTAAAATGCACATAGAACAATGAACAAAGTAACCACCCACCTTAGTGAAGAAGAAAAAACATTCAGCATAAACACACACACACACACACACACACACACACACACACACACACACCACAAGCATTTGTGAATATCAGGGAACATAATCACAAAAAAAAAAAACCCTCCAAAACTTAAGTAGATATTGAAAAAACAGGAAGGTAAAAAATAAATTAATTGAACTCAAGAAAAAAAACTGTAAAAAAAGAAAATCAACCTCAATAATATGGAACATTTTTCAATTTGCCTACAGGTGATTATCTACTAAATGTAGATAAAAAAGTTAATCCCACACAACAAAAGATAAAAATAGAAAGTAATGAAGATGCTGGAGGCATATGATGTATAATTTAACTTCCCTTACATTTCACACTATAACAAAACTAACTTTAAAACCATACTCCAACACAAWTTTCTATAACTAAAATAAAATATGAATCAGCCAAGTAGAAGATTACCTAAAGTCCTGGGAAAACTGATCTGGAATTATCAACTCTGTCACATAACTTTAAAAATTAATAGACTGTTCTGACAAAAAAAAGTCGCCTAAGCCTTAAACCAAAAAAAAGACCAACTCAATCAAGAAAAGAAAATTAGGATGGGATATGATTTCTCAAAAGAAATATGCAAAGCTAGATAAATTGTGGAGTAAATATTATAATATGATGGCTTTCTTGCATGCATAATTTTAACATTGCAGGCTGTCTTAAAATTTTCATTTTGAAGTAATCACATCATACTCCAAATAAATTAAGATGACAAATTGTTAGTAAGCCAAAATTATGACTAAAATTTGTGATATAAATAACATTAACAAGTTTAGCATTTTTATCAAATTGTATTGTGTTTTTCTCTACACCAAAAAATATTAGACTCTCAGAAAATTTTTACTAGAGATTCACATGCCTTTAAAGAGAGTCAGTATATACTATCATTTTAAAACAGATAAAAATAACATTTAACCTCTTTATAAAAGGTAAACTATACTTCAATACAAATGAAGACAATAAACCATAAGAGCATTTGAACTATGTGAAATTTTCTCACCATGATAAATCATGGCATAGCATTTTTAGATATCCACACACATTATTGATGATCAACAAATTCAAAAAGTTGAGCAGTAATCATAATTTTATGTAATATAATAAAATATATTCTTACAGCACAGCTTTTTCAAATATTCTATGATAATAAATTTACTTTGTAATGTTGTATATTTTATTGCATTCAGCAATTATTTGAGAAATCATTTAACATATTTCATCAGCCTATCAAGAAAGTGTGAAAAAATTCAGGTAGATCTTAAAACATGCTTGAAAACATMATTCTGCCTTTATATTTTTAGCTGGATCAATAAACCGAAGTCCAAATGTTGACAATTTCTACTTGAAATTTACAATAAATGTATGTACTATATAGAAATTGTTGTATATTATTAAATCTAAAGGAGAGGACTGATTTAACAAAGCCATCTTTAAATAAGCACACACTATAAACTTTTTAAATATGTATAGCTATTAAATTTAAAATAATCTTCCAGGTACTGCCTATTTTACTGTGATTGAGTTTTGGCTTTTTTTTAAAGTTCAATCTCATTAGGAAAAAAAATTAAAAAGTCATTTGAACTATCAAGGATTATATAAATATTGGCAAATCAGATCAAGATTGTGTGTTCAGGAATTTGAATATTCATCAACTGATTTTGTACTAATTTACTTCTTAATCAAGAGGATTTTTATCACATATTTTAGTGTGATTGTTTGGTTTGTGTCAATGAAGGATGTAGCTGAAGACCTGCACGCTGCATTTTAAGGGAATTATCATCAGGGAATGTCATTTAGTTTGGAAAACATATATAAAACAAACAAACWAACAAAATATGTGGYACATTATACTTAAATTATTTCCAACTGTTAATATTCTCTTTAAAAAACTTGAAATAAAGCTTTTAAAAATAATTATCAACAAAATCACTCTAGGGAAGATAAAACACAAAAGAAATGAACCTGTATGATTAGGATGAGCCAACATTACATTGATGAAGTGATTTCCAGCTTCACAAACCTACAACATATAAATTATTCAGTGTGATAAAGAGATAAACCAATGCCTATTTTTTTAATAAACTGTATTCTACACAAAATAAAATCCATGTAATATATTAATTCCAAAGATGCAAGACAAACATTTTTACTTTACTTGTAATAAGAAAATTTTAAAACAATGTAAGCAACTATCTGACTATATTAAATACAAAACAACTAGACACAATGAGAAATTCTGAAAATATACTTTATCTTTTTTGATAAACCAGGTTCAAATCACCTTATTAATCAATTAGTGTTTATTATTTGCTTAAAGCTTGTTACTCTATATAGATTTTCTTACCATGAACACATAGTGCACATTGATGAAGACAGACTTCTTACAGTATTCTCAGTTCATTAATGCAGTAACAGTCTTCTCAGAGTCAGTGAGGAAGTGYGAATCCCAGTGGTTTCAGCTCTTAAAATGACTATTGTAAGCATACTGCCCCACAAGGACCCTTGCTGCTCTTATGTCATGGGTCCTCTTGATCTTGGCTCTTCCACTAATGTTCTATTATAGGTCACTATAATCCTCTGAGAAGATCAAAGACTTACYACAGTCTCCTGGGACTAATAATATTGAAAATTTGCAATATCTATCTTTTGAAGATGAGATACTTCCTTTGTTTGCCATATTTACCTTATCTGGTATGATAAGGTATGAGTTAAACAAAGAAATACGTTCTTATTGATAATAGATTATTATTCAAAACCATTRTTATTTAAAGCCACTATTGTTTTAAAAGTAACAAATCCCCAAATCCAAGTATCCTTTAAAGTTAGTTCCTTTAGTACTTATTAGTCTCTTAAAACACATCTGATTTCTTATTTTCTTTTCAAACATTTTTGTATGCATTTCTTCACATATAATAATATTTTTACAGACTGCACTGTCTAGGTAATTCACACAAAACAGATGGCATAGATTTCAAAATATTTTAAATCTTAGAAAAGAAGTAGATTGAAAGAGAAAACCCAAATCCATTTCTCCTTCGTAAAAATGTTATTTGAAATAATCAACTTAGATAGAACTGTTCTTTAAGGACATAACATTAAAAGCATATMGAATACACTAAAACAATATTTGAAGATACCCAAAACAATATAATTATTAACTTCACACAAAGATAATTCCACAAAATAAGAGAGGCTCTGATTTTTAAGTCATCATTAGGAATATAAAGCTGAATTTTTGAGTTTTCACTTAATAAATTTTGCTTCRTTTTGGTTTATTTATTTGCTTGTGTTTTATTAATTTTGTTTTGTTTTTACCTATGACTGTGGGTAAATATAGGATTTTAGCTACATGAGTCTATGTTTTCATACCACATCTTTCATTTACTAGTTGTGAGAGACTCAGTAAGTGAATTAGAAATTTTGAATTTTTTCTTGTCTCTTAAATGCAAATATTAATACTTTTTTCTTTCTTTTTTCAAAGTGCTAGGATTTGAATCCTGTACCTCACACATGCTAAACAATTACTCACCACTGATCTCTATTCCTAGCCAGCTGCAAATATCAATTCTTAAATCTAGGGACTTTATGATGATTAATTCAAGTWCCTAACATATATTATTTATTTAATAAAGCTTGTGATAGTTTTAGTTACCTATGTAATCACTAGTAAATTATTATCCTACATTGATCTTCTCTAAATTTGTCTCATTTTCAACTTCACAAAACAATTAATTGTAAATTAATGATTTATTACATGAATGTTACATGTATAACTTTTGTATATGTGCACATTTCAATATAGATATCATGTCATACTTATTTTTCATCACTTACAATGCAAAATGAGATTATGATAAAAATATTTATTAAGAAACAATATCTTTGAAAATTATTATTTTTTCATCTGATGAATATGTTTGCTTTGAGATTATCAATATTTTGGCCATTTTAACCCTCAACCCATTTTCTTYTTCCTGTTCATCACAACAAAAGTAAACATTGAAATTATCAATACTGAAAGTCCAGGCCATAAGATTTCATATACACAGTGAGAGTATTCATGTATTGATACATAATTTATCATTGGGTGCCCTTCTCTAAACATACCAGTTACATACTAAAATCAGAAACACAATATAAAGTGAGTRAAATGTGGTAAATCGATAAGCTATATTTTTCATCTTGCAATGTCCTGATGAAACACTTATCTATATATTCTTTAAGGTTGGAAAAATAAAACAACTATATCTAAACCCTAGAAATGATTAATTTATTATCAACTTAGAAATTTCATAATGGATTTTTTTTCTTTTWAAATATATTTTATTAGTTCTTTTTAGATACACATGACAGTGGGCTACATTTTGACATATTATACATACATGAAGTATAACTTATTCTAATAGGACCCCATTCTTGTGGTTGTACATTACATGGAGTTTCWCTGGTCATATTCATATATGAATATAGGAAAGTTATGTCTGACTCATTTTACAGTCTTTCATATTCYCATCCGCCCTTCCCTTCATTACCCTTTGACAAATTTATTGAACTTCTACTCTTCCTCTCTGMACTTCGCTTGTTGTGTGTTAGCTACAAAAATGAATAATTTCATAATGGATTTTAAGTAATTAGGACTAACAGTAATTTTCACTTTAAGATCCAGCTTTAAAACTCTGGGAAATGTAATAGAAGTCAGAATAATAAGCGGCCTGCATAAATGTTGTTGGTATAATTTCCTCTTAGGTTAGGGCYGAGTAGAATTAGAAAATTCTATTGTGTTCTAAAACTCCAACTTTGTATATTATTCCATTATTTACTGGTTAATTTCAGAGAACTTTAATACGAAACACTGGTATGCTACTCAGCATGATTTACACATTTATGGTGTATTCATTCTTAAACTGGAAGTCTTTATTTACCGYATTATATGTTAACAAAATGACTTAACTAAAATTTTAGGCATTTACTATCATTGCTCTTGATTTACATTATTTAAAGCTTAAACTGTATTAGATAATAAAATTTTCTTAGATAATAAAAGAAAACATATAGTCCCATGTAACAGATAACAAACATCATAGATAATAGACATACAGAAATATAACAAAAATACTAAAGCAAAATTGTTCAAATTTACTGAAAAAAATTTAAATAAATATGCAAGTAACAGCACCATTTTCCTGCTTTATAGTAGTTTAACAAACGAAGTAATATTATGTTTGACTTACTAATATACAAATTGATATCAATTTTTACATAATTCAATCAATATACATGTTTGGTTCCACAGAAAGGTCTGAAGAACAGGACTGAAAGAATTTGGGAAGATGCAGGCCCTGGGTTCATTCCCCAAAACCACATAAAATAATTTTTAAAAAAAGAAAGATAAAAAATTGAGGACAGACTTTTTCTTCATACTGAACTAGCTACATTGAGAATTTGGCCAAAGTTGTTTGGGGGATGTTTATTTGGTGTACTTGTAAAAGTTTTTGCTCTTAAAATTTTATAAATTGGTGACTTTATAATAGGAAGAATCACTGACTATATTTTTCAATGGTTACAATAATTCAAATAATTTTTATTATTCTTTATAAGTGACTACAACATTTTGTTTAAAAGATTTAGAGAGCTAATGAATTGATTATAGGAATTTATTTAATTTACTTCATTTTATAGCATTATATATGTATATTGATACAAAAATAGATCTCATTTTCTGTATGACAAATCTTCCAAAGCAAAGTATTTTATGTTCTTAATAACACCAAAATTAGAGCATGAGTAGCAAGTAAATATTTGATACATACCAGRAAATTGATAGCAGATACTGTGACTTGCCTATTTCCAAATGCTAGAAAGTAGAAAAAGAATTTGTTATGCAAACACTCTGTATTGTCACACTACAGATGTAATTCACAACATGTTTAATGGCTTCATGGTCATGACTACTCCCTAACCAGCAGTATGGTGAGCTATATTATCTACATTTTAGGGTGATACTAAAGTGTAATTGTTTTTGTTGAAAATAAAATACCTCTTTTCTAGTGCTATAAGGACATTTAAAGAAAATCTCTAAAATTAATTGGTGTCATTTAGCTCTTTAAAAAATATTTTATCTCTCTCATTTATCATTTCTCATTTTAAAAGCAAAACTATAATGGCCTAACAACATATAATAATACCACATAATGMTTTTATTTAATGTCTAACAATAAACATAAAATGTTAATAATAATCAGTATTTTGCATCATTGTTTTTAAATACTCATTATTTTAATTGGTCAAATGTATGGGAGTGTTTTATAATAGGCACTATGTTAGCTGGTTTATATAAATATATACACATTTATATATAAAATGTATTTATATATATATATATATGTATATATATATATATATATATATGTGTGTGTGTGTGTGTGTGTGTGTGTGTGTGTGTGTGTCTTGTTTTTTGGTACAAGGGATTGAACCCAGGGATGCTTAACTACTGAGCCAATTCCCAGCCATTTTCATATTTTATTTTGAAATAAGACCTTACTAAGTTACTGAGGATCTGAGGATCTGAGGATAGTCTGGAACCTGAGACCCTCCTGCCACAGCCTCCCAAATCACTGGGATTACAGACCTGCACCACCATGTCCAGCTGTACTATGTTTTTATTATAAAACTTATACCTATTCTTTCCCTTAATATTATATATGTTTCTTCTTATAATGAAACATTATTCTTTATCTAAATTGTAATAATYGTATTATACTAATTTCTATTTACCATTATTCTTTTACTTGTTGATCCACCTTAACRTAACTTCACTCACTCAGCAATTTCCTTTAGGAATTCATATAACAGACACTGCACTTACTGTATGGCTTGTGATAAATTATAGGAAAAGCCAAACCAAATCTTACTTAATAGAACTTAGTCTGATCAGGAAACAAATACTAATCACATGCTCACATGCCAATGAATGAAAATTTGTAAACTTGATAAATGGTACCAAAAAGAGCTTCTACATATTTTATTATAACAGATGTGCAGTTACCAATTAATGCCAGACATGACTGGTCACTTATGTATATCTAGGAATAGACTAAAGTTATGTAGATTTAAGCATTAGTTGCAAAATTTGCATTTTGTACAATTGCAATAACATGCTATGGTAACTGAAATTTAAACCATGATATATGGCTTTGGAATAGATACATATTTCAAACCTGTAAGGTGCRGACTGTCTATACAAGGTACTTACTTTCCACTTGAAATCTGTATTGTAATGTAACAGATGCTTCACTGAATTTGAGTCCTACTTAAATTTACACTTACATAATAATGTTCAACTACAAAAAAAATAGCAAATTTATATTTTAACAAATATTTTCAATATTTTTGTATAAAAATTGTATAAATTGTCTAAGCTAGAATTTTGAGGTTAGTAATTATTTGTATGGTTAGATGAAAAGAAATTCTACATACATGGTGGTGTATACTGTGGATGATTAATGTAGTAGGCAATCCAAGAAGTGAATCCCCAGTAAAAGGCACAACCCTACAAATAGACAAAGTAAAACAGAAGTTATGGAAACTATACTTGTCAAATCCTCTAAAGCTAGTCCATATATTCGTGTCATACACTGAAAWTTTTTTTGTATAAAAAATTGTATAAATTKTCTAAGCTAGAAAAATAAATTTCTTCAATTGCTAAGGCAGCATTATAAAACTCTGTATCACTGAGGATGTATATTCCATTGTACCATTATTATTAACATTAATGAATATTTACAATATAGGTAAAAAGTAATTTTTATGTTTTAGAAAGATTTCTCAAGAATGGTTTTGTATATTAAAAATATGAATAAAGTAAAAACTAATTGCTGCATAAAAAGTTCTAACCATAAATAGAAAAAGAATGAATTATTTAATCATTAGCAAATATATATCTTGACTGATTAGAACCTCTCTAATATAGGCCAGATTTATGAGTACTGAATTATAACATACAGATTGTCTAATAATGGAATAAATTTGATTGCCTTCTGTCGAAAATAAATAAATAAATAAATAAATAGTTGCTTCTCTTTATGATGTATCTTTTCTTAGCGTCCTAGGGTTTACTACTGTGTTACAACAGCAGCAACAACAAAATTAGATGGCTGTTTTGGGGATGTTTTAGAAAGCTGACATTTGCCCAAAATCAGGGTATTTGTGTGTGTGTATGTGAGAACATCTTTTAAATAAATTTCAAAGTGAGAATCAAACTAAATTTGAATTTGAAATGACAAATCAAAGTGACCAATAGTGTCCATTATAAGTTTTTAACTCAGTCTTTCAAAAATTTCCCATGTTTGATAGCTTTTTGGTAGTCAATAACTGTTGCATTCATCTTTTCTGGGAAAAGCAAAAATCTTAGCATTACACTATCACTTTCATAAATGAGATAAAGTTATTGTCATATTAATCACACACAAGTGTGTATTTTARGAGAATTCATATGAAATATTTGTCCTTTTAAAGAGGCACTTAAAGAATCCAAATTCAGTGCTCACTCTTCCCAAAATGAAAAATGTTCCTTGGAGTATCTAGTTGGTCTTGTAAGATAAGGTCCTGGCAAATCTCTCTGAACTTTATTGGCTGAGGGTAGCTCAAATAGAATTGCTCAAGGAAAGACATTTCAGAATCATAAGTTTTAATAAATGTTGACACAATCAGAAAAATCTAGTCTTGAGGAAAAGATGATTCAAACCTTAAAGCTTTGCTAATGATCAATATACATATTTTCTCAATAATAATTAAAATACAAATAACATTAATTCTCACCTGTATCAAATTTTTCAAAGGTGTGCGTCCTGCAGAAACTTTGTGAACAAATAAAGTTTCCAAAAGATATCGGATATAATGTATGCAATGGAAGAGGCAAGCCAAACTGGAAAAAAACAAACATAAACATAAATATTAAATTATCTTCCAAAATTCKTTCTTGCTTTGAGTTAATTATTTTACATGTTTATTAGTTTACTACACTATCCACGTATTAGAAAATATTGATTCTGGTAACCAAACACAAATGTTTACTTTTATATTTTATTCTAGAATTCTTCTAAAGTTAATAATGAAATAACAGTTGTAAGAATCTGTACTTCTGATAATAAATATCATTTACRATATAAATCCTAAACTTTTATKCTCACACTMGCCCCACAAATAATCTAAACATCATAATTGCAAATGCCTTCATATCAAAATGCCTYGAGATTGAAGCAGACAATTTACAATTTTAAAAAAGTAGATTTTTAAGATTTATAAATTATGTGCTTCAAATAGATGCATTTGACACTTGATAATATACAGAATAATTTTAATGGTCTGGTTATCCTTTAGAAGGTAGTAAAATTGAGAAAGTTACAATTTCATTCTCTATRGAGTCATTAATGCATCATTTGTTTTTCTTTGCTTCTTACCCATATAGGATGTTGTAATATTTGGTCTTTTCATATATTTGTTTTTGTTGTACTCTAAGTTGCTGCCTCTTGTCATTTTAACGTAGCTATTATTTTAAAAGTAAATATTAAATGTGACTTACAGAAGTATATCATTTTTAGAAATACTAAGAAGAATTCCATTAAAATTAGTACATATTTTGTTTGAAGAAAAAAAGRTCAAATCTCAAAGCTCTGCTATTAAGAAAATCAGTATGGTTCAAGATTATGGAACTTTACCAATAAAGTTTGAACATAAAAAATAGCATGCCATTTACTCTTTGCAAAATAAGATAYTGAGATGATTTATCAAGTTGAAAATTTATTTGAACAAAAATGAATTAATGTGGGTAATTCATTAATTGAGGTGTAACTCAGTGATAGAGCACTTATGTAGCTTGTGGGAAGTCCTGGGTTCAATTCCCAGCACTACAAACAACAACAACAAAAATGATTACTGCTTTATCTGGTAGTGACTTTAAGGAAAACAAACAAACAAACAAAAATAGACAATAGTGTCAGGAGTGGCARATGAATTATTACTTTGAACTTCAGAGCCTTGGACATCTTGACTGCTGCATCTGGGAATCTTTCCATGCCAAGGTATAGAAAGACAGGCCCATTTACAGGCAGCTGCTGTTARTGGAGTCAATTCCCATACATGGCAAGGAATTTAGATCATAGCTTTAAATTTAGATGCYTGCTAGCCTTAGGTAAAAGAGATACCAGTGTGCCTTGAGGCACTAGCTKCCTGGAGGAAGAATTACTGTGCAAGTGATAAGGGCCCTAACAGGGCCAATTTCCCACAGCTTATCACCTCTTGTTTATCTTAAAGAGACCTTCTTTCCAATAATTACCTTTGGTGGCATTTGAGGGCTTTCTCTCTTTGTTAGGGTCAGACCAATCAGGTCTCTTCCACGCATTAAGCCTTTGCTCTAAATATATTTTCTTGCATCTTTCGTATTCTTTCTTTCTTTTGTTTTTTAAATAAAAAGCACTCACTATTTTTATATTTATTTATTTGTTTGTTTGTTTATGTGGTTCTGGGGATTGAACCCAGGGCCTTGTGCATGCAAGGCAAGCACTCTACCAACTGAGCTATGTCCCTAGCCCCTAGTATTATTTCTTACTACTACTTTTTCAGACTTTTATTTACAGTAGGCCCACACCTCCAAGTGTTATTTCTTCTCTCCCCATGCAGGCTGTGGGTCAATAGTATCTGGGTTAAGTCAACCAGAAGTCTATCATTTATGAATTCATAAAAATATAATATATAATATACCTCTAATGTTAGGTACATGTTCTATGTGATGTGTATGTTAATAATTAACACAAAAATTATTTAAAAGGTGAAAAAAAAACAATGTGGGTATCTGGAGTATAAACCTTCTTAGGCAGCAAAACAAACAGACAAAAAAAAGCAAATGTCATGATATGGAAGGTTGMTTTGTAAATTCTAAGGATTGGTAAGGGAAATTATATCTCTCTTCATTTCTGGGTTATGTTTCAGAGTATTTATAAAAATGCTTGAGTAATACAACTTCCCACTTTTTAAAAGAAAGCATAAAATTAGCCSGGTGTGGTGGCACATGCTTATACTCCCAGTGGCTTAGGAGGCTAAAGCAGGAGGATTATCAGTTGAAAGCCAGCCTCAGCAAGGCTAAGAAATTCAGTGAGACCCTATCTCTAAAAAAAATGCAAAATAGGGTTGGGGATGTGTTTTAGTGGTTTAGTGCCCCTAAATTCAATCTCCAGTAACCAAAACAAACAAACAAAGCCTAAAATTTAGATTAAATCTGGCAACATACCAGAACTCTAAATAAGAAATTTTGGCTCAAGATATGATAGCCACGAAATAGGTCCCCAGTTTGTTTTATATTATYATAACACAGGGGCATAGGAAAGAGGAGACCATACATAGCATACACAGCTAGAACATTCCTGTTGAGATATTTGCCCCACTGTAYATAGTTGATAACTAAACAAATCTAATTTCATTTTGAAATATTTTTRTTGTATTTGATTATGTTGGGCTTCCTATCTAGCACCAGATTTTTCTTTGTCCATTCCCAAACTTATTGTAAATCCACAAATAAGTTTGGGTCTAGTTCTTTTTCCCAATCATAATATTTGAGAATATCTTATCCTTTATCAGGTAAGATTCAAGATGTGAGGGTTATGAAGTAAACCATAGCTTTAACTCTACAGAGCTACAAGGGAGGCAGATCATCAGGTTTCTCTTGAAGAAGATGATGAAGGAAATGTTTAGCTAATAGGTTGGTATTCAGGAAATACTTGAAGAAGATAGAGATTTTGCAGGAGATATGTCTTTATTCCAGTGCTCAAAGKTTTCTAAGAGAGCCAATGAACTTCATGGTACTTAAACATTCTGTATAAATTTAGCAAAACTAAACAAAACAGAAAATATTTTGAGTTTATAACATGACTGAAAGCAATTTTCATGACTTAACATTTGAGTTGTGACAATTGGGTGTGGAATTTGAAAATMGATTTTCTAAATATTGAGAAACAATATTATCCTGAAGTTAAAGTATCTTAGAAGTGTTGAGATCATTTTGCACATTTCTGTTAAATGCCTAAATTTCAAAAGGAGTTTGACATCTACTCTGACATGCTTTGTATGCAGTTGTTATATTTRTTCTTCTGAAACAATATGACAAACAGACGTTTATCAAAGAAATATTATTAAAGTTTTTGTGTTTGCATTTAAGAGTAGTAACCATTGTCAGTTAATTCTTTTGAGAATGCTGCTTAAAAATATTCTTTATTTATACTGTGCTATGTATCTAGTACATGTTACATATTTGCTCTAAAAAATTAGTGGTAGCCATTACATTTTCTTTCTAATCTCTCAGCCTCAGTTGTTTTCTAAATGAATTAGACATTCTCTTCATTTAAGGAAAAACAAAAAAAGAAGTTAATATTCCTAGGCAAGACCATCATCAGTGAGATCCAATGTCTCCTTACTTGGCTCTATCTCTGCTATCCTAGACTTCTTTATGTTGCTACCATGCACTAAAAAAAAAAAAAAAAAAAAATTGTCATTCCTAAAAATCTATTACTTTTATTAGTATAACTGTATTATTTAAAATTTCCATTTTTCTCAAAATATAACAATAAATTTTGTGTAAATATGTTTTAACATTCTTTTTGGGGGGAGAGGATACCGGGGATTGAACTCAGGGGCACTGGATCACTGAGCCACATCCCCAGATCTATTTTGTATTTTATTTAGAGACAATGTCTCATTGAGTTGCTTAGCAACTTGCTTTTATTGAGGTGGGCTTTGAAACCTTGATCCTCCTGCCTCAGCCTCCTGAGCCCATGGGATTACAGGCATGTGCCATCTTGCCCAGTGATGTTTTAATTTTTTATGAAATCCATACATATTCAGTACAAATTTTACTTCAAACTTACTTTTTTTTTTTTTTTTGTTCCTAGAAAGGGAGATGTGGTATAAGACTCTGGTGTTCTGGGCAGCAACAGAATGTTATTCATCACTGATTGCCACACAATCATGAAAGTGAACAGCTGATAAGTCTACGATTTACTATGTTGTTAAGCTATAATGTTCCATAAATTAGGCATACTACATGAATTTAGAAATGAAATTTTCAATTTATAATGGGTTTATCCAGCCCTAAACCCGCTGTAATTTGAGAAGTATCTCCTCCCAAAAGTGTAAGAGCTATATGAATYACTTACTGTACCACTGGGTGGCGTATACTTCTAGTGCTCTCTTTCCTGTCATATACATATGAGATCCTCAAATAAAACAGGAGGTATATTAGCAGAGGTCCTGTGTATTCAGCCAMAAATACCTGGAAAGAAGAAGGTAATTTGGATTTAAAATAATTTTATAAGTTTTTCAAGGTTTACTTATCTTCCTTAGTATTCATCTACTGCCTGAACTGGTAAAATGGCTAGGTGAAGACATGCTATTTTAAAATAATTATATAAGATGCTAACATAAATAAATCTTCCTTAGAAGAACCATGCAAGAGTTAAGGAGAACTCATTATATGCAAAAAGTTAATTTAAAATAAAAACAAATATTGAGACTCGGATGATGGCAGTGTGGATCTAGGCAGCAAACCCTGACTCTTCTACAAATTTCAGAAAAAAAAAAAAAAGCAGTAAAAGAACAATTGACCAGAAAGGTGGGTGACAGAATAACCCTCACCAAAACTCAGTATTGGACTACTTGGGAGATGGGGGGACTTGGAATTTGGTTACTGGAGTAGAAAATCAGGACATTTCCTAACCCTAAAGTCTGACCAGTGTATAGTTGGTGGAGGGGTAACAGAGAGAAAGAAGAAGAGGAAAAGCCCATAATCCTGACTTAACAATAGTTGAAAAGAAATGTGAATCAAATTAAAATGGGACAGAAGCAGCAAGAACAGTGAAGGAAATCACACAGTTTATCCCAAATTGTGGTCAGAAATCTGTTTCAGGCAAGGCAAGCAGTTTGTAGAGTCTAACAGGTAAAAACAATGATGTGCAGTAATCAGGGTGAGACTTCTGTGCAACAGTCTGTCAGCAGGAAGCYTGCTCTCACAGGCCCCTCAGTTGCAGACAGCCATCATGAGAGGGGAGCAGGTGCTCAAGAATTCACAATAACCAGACAGCTACTGGAGCTCACACAAAGCCTGGCCCAATAACAGCCTACACTCCAGTTGAGGAAAAGTACTCCAGTCACCCACATCAGGCWGAACAAGAGAGGTTTTTGCCACAGACTGCTCACAGGGAGCCTGCATTCAGGTGCCACACATTTGCAATCACCAAGCTTTATGCTGCCATAAAGAAATTCCAGCTGTGTGGAGCAGGTTGCCAGCATTCCAATCAGCAACAGTGCTCAGCTCTGCACCCTGTGCTTCCACACCCAACAAAAACAGTCAGAAGATGCACCACCCTTCCAAACATGCAGATTTGGATCTCTAATCTAACTAACAAGCACCATCTGGCAAGAAAACCATAACAACCATGGAAATAGTTTCTGTGCCCCAGAATCTCTAGAAGAATCCACAGCTGTGAGTTCCTGAGTTTCCAGACATAAACTAAAAGTTCTTCAGAATTA